AAATAAAAATAATTTTGAAATCTTACAACAAAGTTTTTTTTTTAGTTTTTTTCATAATATTTTATGGATTACCGCAAGTTGTTGATACTTTAAGACATTGGTGTTACTTTAAATTTTCAATATTGGTTTTGTATCTCATGAAAAAATGTGATATGACGCCCCTGAGTCTTAGAAGGTTAGGTATAGCAATAGCATATGTATATACTATGTGTTATGTAATTTTACTGTGTAGTGAATATATGCCTTTAGTTTCATAGAAGACATGCAATTGTCATACCTATACGCACAACCGTTCGGAAAAATATTGGTGAATTCGGTTGCGATATTATAAAGTTACCTATTCAGATCAAATAACGACCATTGGGACTATAGATGATGCCTAAATATTAAATAATAACAATTAACGAATACGACTCTTGTGTAATGGTGGTTTATTAAGCCTAAAAATAATCGTTGATCCCACGCACCGACATAGTACCCGCCATAAACGATAAACATTCTATATACCTAACACACGGATTTAGCAGTTAAATTATAATATTATATCACGCGGATACACACTTAGAGCTCATTAGTTTCCACACCGCCTTACTTTTTTTGGTAAGCTATAATAGTGAACGTGGCATGTGATTTGTCATCTGCAGTGTACCTAAGGTGTCATTAATGTTGAAGAGAGCGTGATGACGATATTATATTCGGGTCGGGTCTGAACTCGGGGTGCCGAGAAGTTTTTTTTTAAGTACCAATAAGCTTATTATAATTGTTAAAATAATAGGTTAAATAACTTTCAAGTACCTAATTACATTCGTCACACATGTATTCTTACGCCTTAACGCCCATCATTATTATTTATTAAATAAAATGTGTCTGATAGATAGTATGGGAATTGGATACCATTAAAAGAATAATAAATATATTCTAATTTAAACTTAGCCATAAGACGCACTCGGGTCGTAACTATATGCGGAAGTCTGTTGCAGCCGGGCAGGCATCATCCCCTGAACCTCAACCATTGTTGATTTGATCAACCGTCAAAAATTGTATGGCATGGCAATGACCTGTAAATACTCATACAACGCTCATAAAACTATTAAAATTTAAAGTTGATAGTTGATACAATTATTTATCAAATGTAAAGTTTAAAATATATAAACATACATGATTTTGATTTAAATTTGAATTTAAAAACTGATTGTAATCTAGAAAACAATATAGACATGTTGTTTTAAGTATTTTTTGTAGTGTCGGGTAAAATGTAATTATTCGATTGGTGGAAAATAGAATAATGACAAATAACGAACACATAATTCTTCTCTCAACTGTTAAAAACAAAGTAAAAAGAACTCTAAAAAAACTACCATCAAAGCCATGAAAATGACTTAAAAATGAACAAATTCAAAAACTTAAAAATAAAAATTAGCTGTATAGATTTGTATGTTACTGAAACACATTTTGAGCTAGGTAAGCATCATTTATAATGTTCTAAAAAAAAGTGCAAAAGCCTTTAACATCCGGGCCATACTTATGAGTAATTATATAGGATGCAACAGAAAGACCTGTTAAATAAAATACCTATGTTCTAATCAATACTTTAACATTAACATATTTTTTAAAAATAATTTATAGAATCTACAGTAACATTTTTTTTTTATACCGAAACCCAAAAGTAAAAAAAGATATATTTATAATTAAACGTTGAACTAGTATAAATTATTATTTTTATTTTTCAGGTCTTTCTGCTGTACCCTGTATGTAGAATAACCTTTTAATGGCTATTATATAATCACATACATCACATAAACAAAACACTCGACGCCGTAGTCCGTAGACAATAATTTATTGTCAAATGATATTGTACAAGTATACAATGCAATTATCCGTAAAAAAATAAGTGATAAATTAAAAAGTACTTACTCGTATTGTAATTAAGTATTTTTTAATTCTTTTTAATAGCATATTTTTATCAAATTATGTTTATTGAAAAAAATTGTCATAAAACATCAGCGAGAACTCGCTGGACAAGTGATCCAGCTTTCTAGAATGTTCTGCAGATACGACCAACGTGGGTTGGTGCCACGGTAACCATGGTACAAGATAAATATTTGCCTTTTATTTATTTTTTAATATTGATGGTGCAATATGAATGCTAAATGTTTATGAAAATAATGCTTCTGCTTGCAGCTATCCAAGTCGTACTTCATCAAATAACAAATTTGCTTGGATCTATCCAACACGATATCTTTAACTCAACCCATTATAAATCAAGAAATACCTAATAATTCATTGCGTAAATATATACTACCGCCGGCCGTTTCTCGTAAAGCATTTGATTGCAAATATTGATCAGATAAAAAGTATATCTGAAATTTTAAATAAAAATTAGAATGCTCAACGTTGGTTGGATGACTGCAAAATTAGTTTAGCTTGAAACAACTAAAGCTGCTTTTTAAAAAATATTATTGATAGAGGCTATTGGGTTACAAAATTGAATTCAATCGATTTAAAGCTGCTTTCATTTATGATGGTTCAAATGAAATAGGTAGAAGAAATGGACGAACGCCGCAACACGTATCGAAAACGTATGGAAAACCATAAATATATGGCAACATAATATATTTTGTAGAGATCTGAATCGTGGACATATTCGTATATTATATGTATCTAGAGAGCCTATAGATAGGATTATAGGTACCTTATCTAGACTCTCTATATGCATCTAATCCTTTTTATGATAGTAATTTCTTTAAAATTACAATTACGTTTTAACAGGAATTTGACAATGTAAGACGAGAGAAAAATTGAAAAAGTTTAATATTATAATATATCCCATTGTATTTCTAGTAATTATTCAACAAAGTTAAAAGTATTAGGATGGGGACTGTAAAATCGATGATTTAATCTCGAATAGTATGATTCACAGCTATTGGTTGTACGCACAACGCACGGTGGTAGCAGAAAATTGAGACCAAATATTTGGGGGAAATGTAGCATCAGCAGAGATATAAGTATCTAGTTTATAGGTAGTCACAAAATAACTGTATCTGTTTGTATTGTCATTAATAGTCTTCTACAAAACGTATGTCAACTGGTCAAATTCTTCAGGTCTAAGGAATGGCAAACCAAAAAAATATTTAAAAAATAGTTTTTGTCTGGGTTTAAGTTTTTGTCCGAGTTGATTAAACCAAGAGCTTGAATCTTTTTCCACCAATTTCGTCCTAAATGGAAACGGCATCCTCTTATTACAATTTTAGGCCAAACAAGCTTTTCAGCCATGTGTATAACACAAAATTGTCGAATATTTATCTAATAGTGACTGTGAGTGCTGTCTGACTTGTTGGCATTTTATCGTTGAAAATAAACCGGGTTAATAGCCGGGACCCAACTTACCTAGCCCCGATAAAACACCAGTATAGCCGTATAGGCGTACATTGCACCCATTTTTGGGGAACTCAAGTCCTCCGTTCATAATATTTTTTACAATTTATACATGCTTAGTATAGTATAACGCATACACATTTTTTAATTGATGGCACTTGCCAAATATTTTTAGGGACTAAGTCTGAGTTATTACTTCTTTTCAAAATAATATAGACGGACATATAGCACCCCCCCCCCCCACTCACATCAAACATTTTAATATTTTACGTTAATATAATATATGAGTTATAAGTGGCCTATAAGAATGACTAATAATTGTAGAATACCTACACGTCATTACGTATTTGCGTCAACGTATAAACATACAATAGGTATAAACATTCCACACTGTCCGGGTAATGGTTAAGTGATAGGCAATGTAAAAGTATCATTTTCTTTTTGCATAAGACAAATGATAAATTAACACTTTGATTATTATAAAGTATTAACAATTTTGAGTGATTAAAATTTTTTTTCGTTTTGAATATTTGTATCAAATACCTAATGTTTATGCATAAAAAGTCCAAAAATATCAGCGACCACCTACTAAATCAGTAACCGCTTACTTCGTTCATGTGCTATTGTTGTAGATACGGCTGACGTATTAGTTACCACACGAGAAGGATTATAGTGACTCCTGAGGTCGGTTCATTTTAATGTATTAAAGAATATTACAGATGTTCTTATGTTAGCTGGATAGATCCAGTCAAAGACCAAAGTCATGGAATCAGCAATGCCATTTCATATTCTTTGATTTCGCTACAGATCTATGAATGGTGGGTTCACATTAAAAATTATTTAAAAAGATAAATATTAGCAAATAGAAATGTTTTATAAGCATCTACTGACAAATTTTAATTTTTAATACAAATTAGTAGATATCCCCCACACATTCTTTTCCCGATGTATCTTTATAGCATTTTAATTTTAAATAAATTTAGAAGTAATATTTGAGTGACATTTATTATTTGTATTTAGAATATTCTATTCAACTCTTGGAACTACATTTAACTGTTTAAATTTAAATTCATATTAATATAGTATTTATTTACTCTAATACAGTCCGTCGACTTTGTTCATTATTGCCACTCGATAGAGTAGGAACCAGATGGCTCGACACACATCGCTTATACTGTAATGTCATCAATGATTATTAGTAGGTATACTTGTAATTTTATGGAATAATGTAATAAAACTATATTGTCATTTTATTACATTCAAAAAAAGATAATCATGATTTTAACTTTATTTAATATTAATACTTATTTAAAAAATGCACTTACTTTAAAATAATAATTTATATTCTTATATTCAATTAAATAGGCAACTTATTTAATAGTAGACTAGAAGAGTATTATTGACAAATATTTAACAAATTGATAATAAAAAATACTCAAAATAATAATACTAATAATTTACAAACAATAAACAGTTTTCAGCATAGTTTTGTAAATATTTATTTGGTTAAGCAAATTAAATTAAAAATATTTCTACTCAACAAAATTAAACAAGAAAAACAATTGAGATGTTCTCGTTATTCAATTAAGTTAGTACTTGGTGAAATATAATAAAATGTTGGCATATTTTAAGTATTAAGCTCACAAATATTAAAACGTCCCAACAGCAACATATATGATAGCTTTTCATTCTTAAATACATGACTTGCTGTAAAAATGAAGTATCTTCTTAAAAATTTACTCTATAATCTTGTATCAGAAAACATAAAGAGTAACTAATTATATGATTCTAAATTTCTACGTCTTAATTTAAATATTCTTATAAAGCTTTTCTCATAGCTTTAATCTTATTCATCATTGGCTTTAAAGTATTCATCCTAAATATCAAAAAAAAATATATTTGAACGCAAACAATAATAAATATTTACAGATAAAAAAAATATTTTATTTAATATTACAAACTAACCACTCATTGGTGAATTTATAATATTGCTTCATATTGCACTTAAAATGTGCACCATCAAGGGCGGGCTGAGACAATATTTCAGGCCAGATTTTTTTTGTATAGCCAATTAGTTCATAAACATGAATATCAGCTCAGACGCCCAGAAATCTCACATCATTCCTCCGGGCCAGATTGTAAATATGCACAAGGATGGTAGTTCCTCACAGTATTTGTAAAATGACTCAGGTTCAACAGCTTCTAATTTACCCTTTTTTTAATTGAATTTGAATACACAACAATCTTTATCAATCTATAAAAAAATGTGACAAGCATAAATATAATATATTATACAGAATGTAACAGGAAGACTTGACAAATGACATAACTTTTGTTCCAGTCGTTATTTAAACTTTTTTGTTTAGATCATTTACTGGAGCTTGCAATTTGTTTGTAGTACAGCATTTATATTTTCATTTTTTAATACTGAAAATAACATTTTTTTTAATCTGATATAAATATTTTTTGAAAAATTCAAAACAGCTTATCAGTAAATCAGATTTGTAAAAAAATGTTGACAGTCAAAACAATTATTCACCTCATGTAGTTAATTTTTGAAATCTCATTATTTTTGTTAAGTAAAGTTGATCCAGTCATATAAAACATTTCAAACTCAAATAGTATAAAATTAAATATTTTTTGAGAATTTTCAAATAGGTACTTGTTAAAATCTAAATAACTTTTTAAAAAGTTATTAATTTTCAAATTAATGAGTCCTTCTCTAATGCTAAGATTTTATAAAATCATAAAACATAAACCACTTGACTTAGATGAATCAAATTACAGTCAAAAGTTTTATAAAAAAATGTTATATTATAATATAGTCATTAAAAAAAAAAAAATTAAAAGTCTTAATAAAAACAAAAGTTATTTAATTTGTCAAGTCTTACGGTGACCTGTTTAACTCTATTTAGACCAGATTTCAACATTCAAAAATTTAAAATTTAAAACTAATGTGTTATTAATTGATACATTATTTTTTTAGTAACTTGCTGTCTTATTACTACAAATAGTACAATAGATTTAAATTTGTATTACATTGTTGTCACAAATAACATGGATATTAATCATTACTGCAATCGATAAATGTCGAAGATGAATTCAGGCTAACAGCTAACTTAACCTTAATATCTGCATGAATGTCTTTAAATTTAATGTCCATTCAATATTATTAATTTATTTCAAATTTATAATATACAATTTTACTTATTAGTTATAAGTTATCGATTTTTAAATCTTGGTTCAAAACCAATACCTAGGTATAGTTGATATCGTGTTCAATACATGTTAATAATAAATAAATTTATAATTATAATTTAAATATTCTCTTACATCACTATTTACTAGAATAAATAGTGTTACATAAAACATTATAGACACAACTATGTCATCATAAAATAAATTCAACTTAACAAAATGATATACTAATAAAATAATAATGAACTCTAGTGGCATTAAAAATGAATATACAATAACTAATAAATTAAGTTGAAAAGTCTAAGCTCTTATCATGACTAGAAAATATGCATTTAAACACACTTCATTAAAATTTAAGAGTGAACGATTATTGTTTTTAGAATTGAGTAATTATGTTATTAAGATATAACCAATATATGATTAAATACCTAACTAAATACTTGAGTAACCCATACAAAATCAAATTACTTGTGTTACAACCTCCAGGGAAATAATAATAATTCGTACATAATAAAGCACATGAAATCTTGCTGAGGATTAAAATCGAAGAAATAAAATAAACATAAATATTTCATTACTAAAGATTGTAATTTATAGATATTATGAGATTATGACAACCATGCAAATAATTCTAGAATATAATTAGTATTTTTAAAAGTTATTATTTTTAAATTAACTATACTTACATAATATACTTTGCATTAATTGTTAATTATTATGACTATTATGAGTAGGTATATTACGAACACAAAAATCAATGATGTTGTATGAAAAAATTACTGTAATTCAACCCTAATCATATCCATTCCTTTAGTGTACTAACATTTTACACAAAAATAGAATAACAATTATTATATGATAACATTTAAAAGAAACAAAACTTTTTAGTCTAAAGGTTTCAGTGTAATATGAGCATTATAATTCATTTTATTCCTAAAAAGAGCTTTAATGCATTTCTTGAGACTAAATACATATTATAGTGTTGATAACTGGTATAACATCACAAAATAGGTAAATATATGGGTATAATTTGGAAGGGAGTTATACTCTATGACTCATTTTAAAATCTACAAGCAATTTAACATTTTAAAAATATTCATAACTCGATTTAAATTTATCTTAGGAGACAACACATGGAGGTGTAGCACTGTAGCATCCTCTTAAATTTAGTTTTTTATTGTAGACACATAGATAATTTTGTAGAAGTAGTTATATAGACATTATCATAAACAATAAGTTGATTTGTATACATTTAGTAGGTACCTATGGACTAATGGGATATGGATTAAGGTAAAAAATTAAATATGTTAAGGTTTTGTTGTTTTAATTTTAACAAAACAAATTAAATTAATTTTTCATAATTAAGGTACCTATTCATTTTAATTGAAAATACATTTGTATTTTTCTTAATATTAATTATTATTAAAATAACTACTTTTTTTCATCATTTTTTTTTCATTTAAATCATTTCATTCTCTATCATAAAGCATGTTTTCAAAATTAAAATAAGATAAATAATTACGGTAGGTACAAGTTGGTTCTTTCTTCTAGACATTTGATGATATAATCTATTATACAGTAGTTGTGATGTTTCAGTAAATGTTGATTGGTGGTCTTAAAGCACCATGGTCTTACTTTTTGACAATAGGTATATAAATTATAAAATGGTTCACTTTTATACCCCTGTAAGCTGGAAAGTTAATACAAAATCAAAGTCAATACAAATTGGTAACAGAAAGAAATGTACGTAGTTACCCACAATGGTCAAATGGTCAAATTTATTTTTGATGGATCGTCGTCTACATTCAACACTTCAATCACATGTAACACATTGATGGCTGCTGCTTATAGTCACTGAAAACAGTCTTATTAGTGCTGGCGCTTGGCAGAATAGGTATTTTAAAAAACAAAAAGCAACAGTAACGATTGTAATACAGATATAGTAACTAAAATATAATACTATGCATATGGTCAGCAGATGAATGACGAACAAGAAAACAACGGACTTTTACTGTTACATGAAAAACCCAATCTAAAATCACTATAATAGCATAATTAATAAAATAACCTACCTGATTGATAATCGAAAGTCGAAAATCACTATCATGGTAAAATAAACTCGAAGTAAGGTTTGCTTTTCATTATCACTATCAAGCTGCATTCGCCGACAGTAAGTTTTACCATAGTTGGATCTTGTATAGCGTTAAGTGTTGTTAACCGTTAGCTACTTATCCCACCAACTTGGCGCCTTTGCACTGTTTTAATTTTAAAATTTAAATAATAAATATTAAATACCTATATTAACTACCTAACTATAAATAGATTTATAATCAACGAGGTAAAGTGTTATCAACATTCCGAGTGTTCTAGGAGCGGAGTGCAGTGGTAGTGGTGGTACACGCCACAGGTATGTTGGCCACCACAAAATGTTGTCCACAATTGTAATATTGTCCACTGCTAATCTATATTTCAAATCATTATGTAGATGTTGAAAATATCTTCTCAACATCTTGATTCAAATGTTTTCTTTACTATCTAATGAACTACTTGTCCGAAAGTTGATCTATAATGATTGAAATACTTCTGCTTCGGAAATTTGTTATATGAATTAAAAAAATATGTTGTGTAATTTAATAGAGTAAAAATTTAAACAATAATTATAACAATAAAAAATGAAAAAAAATTGTTTTATTCAGAAATGTTGTTATGTAACGACATCAAATTATAATAGAAAAAACTAAAAAGAATATTTTCAAAAAAGTTTAAACTTCGAAATAAAAAGTTTAGACTTTCGACCACAAATTAAAATATGTATCTTAATTCGTGCTATATAGACATTTAAAAAAGTAATAAATTTATTTATATGAAAATTATGATCGTTTTTTTTTTGGAGTAGTAAAAAATATAAGTGCTCACAGCCCACACGTATCGCAGTACTTTTTCATCAATTCATCATTAATTACTACCTTTAATAACAAATATGTAGGACGTAGATACCTAACGCCTTCGGGTATTATATTATACTAATTATAGACACTACTACACTAGCATAGTCGCATACAGTTGTATCGACCTGTTTATACAATATACAAATTACATATAAATATATAATACCTAGTGTCCTAAAATTTAAAGTACCTAATATAGGCAATCTATAGTGTACTAAATATGCACAATAAGTAAAAGTAAGACTCGTATGAGTCTATAAGAGATGACATACATTCTTCAATACTTCATAGTTCACAGTAATTAAAATATATAGCTATAAATTTAATAATATATATATATTAAATTTAAAACCGTACCTACTCTGTAGTACATAATACACCTATACGTCCTACACCTATAGCCTATAGGCTATAGTGCTATACCTATTTTATTTCGAGGCTTCGAAAACAAAATTAGATATTTAACTCATACCTACTTATTAATGATGTATCTACCCACCGGAAATTCAAAACGTGAACTTTGTAGTATAACTACTAAGTTTAGGTTGGTAGGAAGTAGGTACCTATAATGATGCTCATCATTATTATGTTCTGATAATGCTTAAATTCTAAAGTATAGATAGTAAGTAGATAAACCGATTTAGGATACAGTAGGTAGGTACTACATATTTTGTACACCAACTAACCTTACCATTGTAATGTGTATGTTCGTGTAAGATGTAACATGTAACTATAATATGTTTAATGAATTTGTGTAACAACGCGTACATTCCCCAAGGATATTTATTTATATATTTATAACAATATTGCAACATAATTTGCACTAAATGTTTCAATCGTTAAAAAATTAAATACATAGGTACCTATCTAATTATTTAACACCTAAAAGTGTAACTATTACATAGTCAACACCTATATAGTTAATATTGGCTATTGTCTATAATAAAATTTAAATTTAAATTTAAACGTATAATAGGTACATATTTTTGAAGTTCATTACTTTGCTTGTTGCTTCATTTATTGTATTTTTGTAGAAACCTTCACATACCAAATCATTATCATTGTACTCGGTTTAAGATTAATATAAATATAACTATTCCTAAATCAAGGACCTGTTTCATACAGTCTGTCATTTAAGTCTGGACTAGAATATGTATTTGTATATTTTTGTGTAAAATTCAAAATTAACCCTCATGACTTTAATTCTAAACATCATTTTAAACAAAATGCCTATGCTATTATTTATAATATTATGTAATCGAACAAATTAGCTAAGTTCATTATTTTAAAAAAGCTTTTTATGTGCCATGTTCTGTTTTCTCCCTTTATAATCCCTTTATATTTATTAAAATGTACAAAATCATTAATATTAAGTCTTATTTATTATTTTTGATTCATACAATTATTATTTTTCAGTTACTATAATTTTATTTACAAGTGACTATTATTATACTAATTTAATACTATAACCTATAATTTGAACTCTAACTTCCGGCTTGGAAGTGACCAACTTCTTTTATTTTAAATTATATATATGTATTGTAAAAAATTATAGTTGGAAAAATAAATAAATAAATACTATCAAATAAAATAGAAGTACAGTAAATTATATTTAATCAAATTTGTATGCCTACTTTTACACGGCAAACTTTATACATAGACACTTTCGATTTTTCGGTCAATCGGAGAATATTCTTAAATTAGATCAGCAAAAATATTGTCAACATTTTTTTTCAAAACTTTAAACGCAGAGTAATGAAAAATTGCACTCATGATTGGAAATTTCGTAGTATCTTTAAAATGTTTTTAAATATTTAGTAAGTTATCACTTTGACAGTCGTATATTGACCGTTGAATTCAAATGTATTAATGTGAATTCCAACACAATAAAATTAAAATATCTACATTAATATTAAGCTATTAACATCTCAGAAAAAAGAGCAGTAAGTGTAGGTACAATTTAAATAATTTAAGAGAACAGTATATAGCCTTTGCCTATAGGTAAGACTATTTAGAACTAATCGATTGTATACATTGATAAATAATGTAGGTATGTTATAATATTATTCAAAGATACAGGGTGCGGCAGTCAAATCCGACGATTTAAAAGAATAAATCAAATGCCTATATAAGGGTAGGTACAAAAACGTACAAAGTAAAAATTACGAGTTATAAGTCGAGAACAAGTGCAGCTGTACCTGTACTAACAATAAAAATAATATCTTATACATCGATAAGAATGATATCAATTTGATGACAATTCCCATACAATGTATAATATCGTTCTTACAAAACCTGATTATCTACCAGCTATAATACGGCTATATAAGTACCTATTTATCAAAGATTGGTGTTACATTATATTCTATGCTTCCACTCAATTATATTTTATGTTTCAGTTTTATCTAATAAATAATAATTAAGATTAATAGCAGGTACCTACTTATTTAGGTTACATTTTTAATTTTTACGTATTTCTTACTTTCTTACTCAACCATTAAAAATTAATATTTTAGGTTTCTATACTTCGTTGGGAAATTATTTGAAAGCTGATATAAGTGTTATTTCTACTTGCTAAAATTAAGTGACGTGGTGAACTTTATTTACCTACAAGGCCAACAAAATTTGAGATACCTGCCACTATAAAACAAAAACCCCATATTTTTAAGGGGCTTATAGAAAAAAGTCCCTCTACAATTTTTTGACACTCTTAAATATTTGTATTATTTAAGCGAAAAGACTAAATTCTATGCTAAAATTATTTAGTAAATCTACCCTCAGATTATTCTCTAAATTGGCTTAAAATTGAGGTATAGTTTATAGGTTACCTACTACCTATACTTTATTTAAACATTTTTAATCTTTTTAATGTTTAATTAATTTTAAGTTATATATAATACATATTATGTAGACATGAAGTATAATAAAATCGATTATTTCATCCCAAATATGTGTGAAATAAATAAAAATGCATTACTTGTATACCTAACTATACAGATTATAGTGTGCATACATATTTAAAATAATATAGATAGTAATATATACCTAATATAAAAAAGTACCTTTTCGACAATGTTGACTGAAGTCTACTTTTAATAAGTTTTACGTAAAATAATACAACACATAATTTGTTATATAATAATCTGTTGAATTTTTAAAATTAAATTAATTATCAATTCACCTTTGAAAAGCTTTTTTCTGCAGATGCCGAAGATACAGTTATTGTTCCGAGTGCTTTGAAAGTCATAAATAAATTTGGAAAAGCATTTCGAAGGTCATAACTAGCAAACTAGCTATTATTTTAAGAATTTGCAGTCATAACACTCATAACGAACGGGGTTGTACAGGTTTGACTATTTTAATTTCCTTGAATAATTATTAATATCAGTAGCGTAGTCACGGGGGGGGGGGGGTCGTTGTGGCGGTAATAAATTATTATCTTTACAATAAACTTTTTTTTTTAATTCCAATCTTCAGTAAAAATAAGATTGCTCTAAGAAAATATTGCATTTAATTTTCGAGTCTTTAAAGCGCAAATAAATATACATCACAATTGTATAAAACCAATACAATGGCTCCTCTTAAAATCTAAAAATGGGTTATTTAGTTTATTCGACACAATGTACGATTTTTATATAATTATTTATGCATTAAATTCCTACTTATTCCCTCCACCATCACAATTATTACACATATATATAATACATCAGTATAAATTATAATTTTCATCCAATGTAAGACAAATATTTTACTTGCTGGTTGGAGCCATGGAGGTTCTTTGAAATTTTGAATAGTAATAAACTTTCTGGCTATTAATTTGTTTAATTTAATTAGGTATATTAGGTTAATTAATACTTAATCATCGTAAAATTCTGCAGTTGAGAGAGTACGTACTTCCCCTTAGTTGGGGACAAAGTTCACTATACATGATGAAATTATACTATAGATAGATTTATAAATATCAAAGGTAAGCGTGCATACAATATAATCAGGTAGGATCTAACAACACCCATAATATTCTGCATAAATTAGAAAAATTGTTTTGTTTCTTCAATTAACACCAAATATTTAAATGTAAATTGCATTTAACTTCAGCATTTAAAGTTTCTAAATATATTCAAATTGTATTTTATACTTATTAAGAGATTTAATATGACTATCTTGATAATTGAGTCGAAGAATAAACGTAATATTATACCAACTATAATACCTATGTAGTGTGTAGTCTATATTATACCGTATTGTTTATTTACAATAATTACTGTTTAGTGTTTATATAATTGCGTATTATGAATTTTTGTTTGTATACAAATTAAATAATAAACAAAATATATAATCATTTTATTATAATTTTGCTAATTAGGTAGGTATAAATTAATCCTGTATAAATAAATATTTAGAATAAATTTGTTTCCATAATATTATTTATTATTTAATAATAATATAAACCTATCGACAGTTTTTTATAGTCGCAAAAACATGTTTTGATTTTATAATAACCAATAGGTCAGAACATTTACGAAGATTAATAGAAATTACAATTTACAAATATTTTAATGTAAAAATAATTTACGAACTTGTGTGTGTATAGGTATATTAAACAAATGACAATGATGTACATTAGAAATTATAACGCCTAAAGAAAATTCTCTTTGGCTTAGCGTAGCATAATGTTGTGCATAATGTGCATATTATGTATTATTTTTAAACACAATACTTTAATAATGTACCTAGCTAAATCCACTTAGATATTTATTATACATGTGAACGTAAGCATTTATCAATGTTAAATTAAATGAACAATGTATTTTATTCATGGTTTAACCACTAAGAAGTTAAATAGATAGGTATTAAGCAGTGTTCGGAACATTCACTAAAATAATGAATTCGTTCACGTTCACGTTTGGTCCTTAAAAAACCAAGTCTGAATTTCACGTTCGTGTTTTTTTCAAATAAACTCGTTCACTAGCTAAATCGTTCATTAATTTTTTTAAATTTTTTATATAATAGCAATTATAATAAGTAAATATTACTAATCAATATATTTTATTAACAAATATTTATTAAATGACAAATAAATTGAGAGGCGTCTTAAAGATCGTTCAAATTCTGTAAAATCTAATAACGACGTTCACGTTCACGTTCCATTTGAAAAAAATCTAGTGACGTTCGAGTATCGCCACCAAATATATGAACCTGAACGTGTGAACGTGAATGAACTACAATGCACGACGTTCTTTCCAAACACTGGTATTGGGTAATGCAAAATCTTCAATAGTTCAGCCACTTCAGGATTATTTATGTTGCGCTGTTGGTATTAAGTATTGAGCGTTATCAATAATAGAAAAGTAAGTACAGACTACGAGTAAGTATCTTTAGACTACGAGTAAGTAATGCTTTTACAAATAATGGATTTAAAAAATATGTAAATATATAAATTTGTGATTTATATGAATAGATACATATTACTAATCTTATAGGTAATTTAAATGTTTTAACGTTTATGCATGAAAAATATTTTTACTAATTAGATCCCTATTTATATATTCATAAATAAATTGCAATGCAACTTATGAAGATAATTTTTAAGTATTATGCATCGCGTGGTTTAACATATTATATTTCTCAACACCACGGGTCTAATATTTCATGTTTTGGTTGATTACAACTTAAACTATTATATTTCTATACAAGTTTGAACATTTGTCAAATTTCACTAAAATATTTTTTTAATAATTTATTATTGTCAATATATTTCAAGTACGAAGAAATAGTATTAATAGGGCTATTGCTAAAAAAATGTAAATAACGATAAATTAATAGGATTCAAAATTATTGTTAACAACCAATAGGAATTCAGAGTTCAACTCTTGAAACTAAAAAAAAAATCTGAGCAATGTAAAATTGATAATATTTCTTTGTGTTTCTACTCGTCGAGTTTATCTTGGAGCTCGGCAACAGAAAACGTTTAAAGCAAAGTATGGGACGGAAATTTATACTAGGTATTCACTATCTTAATCCGTGGGACTATATTACTTTTTAAAAAAATATAGTTTTTGGACTACCGTTATTTTTAAAATGAAAACGGTTGCCGAGCTACAAGATGAACTGCATTTAAACGTAGGTTCTTAATCTTACTGAATTCATAGATGTGTTCGCTTACACAAATCACGGCCCTATATTTTCCTATTACATTAATAATTATATTTCCCAGGGATTTATTTCTATGCATAGCTATTAATGCTCCAGGTACCTACTTCATTTCTATTGACTATTTCCTAGGGAAAAAGTTTATGTCGTGACTACGGGAGACTTCTACAACGTACACAAATAAATAATTTTCCTATGAGTCTTTTAGATTTAATGTAATAAGAGAAAAAAATATTTTTTGAATCAAAAGCGTATTTTTAAAAACGACAATTTTTGTGGGTTTCTTTGAAATTGTTTTTCGGTCGTTATAATATACTATACACAGCTATAAGCCTATGTATATTTAGATTAGGTAACTCGTTGTATGATCTGAACAATTTGTACATAATAATTTATTGTGATGTATAAACACATATTTTATTGACGTGTGTGTACATATTATATTATGATATATTATGATCATGGAAAATATTCAGAATTCACTATTCAGAAATTATTTTTACAGCTACCATATATTACAAAGTTCATTAAATTGGTTATCGATTTTTTTTCCACGATATTTTATCTAATCAATGGGCATACTCGATATAATCACGAAAATATATACGACTGGAAGTTCCACGCAGGGAATACCACCTGTATAGATAAATTTAGGATTAATATTTGATATACGGTTAACGATTAAATTCCGAGAGACCCATCGCCCATCGGTCTGTACTGTGTTCACTGCTCAGTTGTATTTCTGCCTCCTGGCTCTCTCTTCTTCCTTGCTCTTTTCTTCAAATCTTCTACCTATTTGATCAAAATTAAAGGACGTTCCTCAATTATTTTCATTTTAAATTAAAACTTTTGTTTAATAAAAAAAGAATCTTGCTGAGATTTTACGTGTGTTAAGTCGTAGGCCGTAGCCTTAAGGCTTTCTACCAGTAAACCTCATATTTTATTTTTCGACTTCAACATAACCCAACAGGTCAGTAAATTATTTTACATTACAAAAAAATGTAGTTAGGTAAAAATAGTATTATCAATTTATAAGGTATTCATTCGATTTTAGAAAATTGTTTTTTATATATTTGTATTTTATCTAAGTGTTTTTTTTTAATGACGTTAGATAGGTATTCTTAGTAATTATTATACAGGTATATATTGTATAAGACGAGTTCGTAATATTATAAAAGTAGAATTAATAATAGCCTGATAGCCAATAGGTATAATACTAGAATGATGTATTTTTTTGTTACCTATAGGTATTATATACAATTTTAATTTTTAATTCATGTCATGTTTTAATTATAGTTTAGTAAATTTAATGTAATCCTTACTCATGGGGTTTTTTAAATGTATTTTTAATTTTAAATTTGGTTTCATTTTATTCGTAAAATATTTCCAATGGGCAACAACTTGAAACAGATTTTGGACCTACCTATGTAAAAGAAAACAATTTTAATGTTAGGTATGATTATTTTGTATCAAATTTTGGTCCTAATTATATATACCTAAAAATAATTGTAAACGTTATAAACAGAATAAGAATGAATTCATTTTAATCAATTAAATTTATTATTTTATCTTAATATTTTATAGTTCATAGATGTAATTTATAGGTAATATGATATAATATAAGTATCGACCGTTGTATTTTATTGAAAAGATAAGCTTCTGGGTCATGAATCCAATTATTACTTTTGAAACAAATATTATAGAAATGAAATGTAAAATAAATGCACAGGTGTTGGATAGTTGTCAAATGCTTTACGCTATTAGTTTTCATGAGCTAACTTACAGTAGAACCTCATTAATCCGGACTAATTGGGGTTCTAGGTTGTCTGAATTAATGTAAGTCCGAATTAAACAAAATAATCAAGAATCTTAAATTATAAAATTTAAATAAATTGTATAGGATATTTGACTATACTTACAATACTTAAGTCTATCTAATACATATATCGAACAATATTAAACCTATGAAATAGTACATAGTTGTATAATTGAACTCATTTTTATGTTTATTTTAATCTACATCATGAACTATCATGATAAAAGGCTACCCGGATTAAGCAAATTCTGGACTAATGCGGTCTGGATTAATGAGGTTTTACTATACTTCTATTATTTTGTTGAGTAGATCACAAAATCACTTTAAATAAAATAATATAACAGTTCACCTGTGGGGTAATCCATAATTAAAATAACAGAATTGACCTTATTGTGAAATCGATTGTGTTATTGGTAGTCACAATAACTGATCAGTAACCACATTTTAAATAGTGGATCACTTTAATGAGAAAGAGGTACAGTATATGGGTAGTTGACTAAATGAAAGTGAAATTTTTCAAAATAGTGTTTTTACCCTATAATCTCGTCTTAAATATGATCTTCAAAATGTGTACAATTTTTGTAAATTTATACTGCTTGAAAACTATATTAAAAATTATATTACAATTACCAAACATTATATCCATAAGGAAATACTTAGATTTATTCTTTCTTTTTTTTGCTTTTGTATAATAATTTAAGGTACTTGTTTGTTATCGCCCCGCCAGTACACCGTATACAATTTATCGCCCCGCCACTCTTGTTTGTTATTGCCCCTCCATAAATAAAAAAAATTTCAATGTATAATATTATTTTATTTTATTTTAATAGTTTTAAATATATAAATGTTTAGTATAAAATTTAAATTAAAAAATGTATAAAATATAAAATATGTATAAAAATGTAGAAAATATATTATGAATCTATAATCTAGTTATAATGGAGGCCAGAATTCGGAAATATCTTTGAGGATAGTTTCAAATGCGTCTTGTTCTCCGAGACGTGTTCTCCACATAAACTCTGCCAAATATGATTCTAGAAAATTTCTGTTAGTTCCACGACGCTTTTTATTGCCCCATTTAGCAGAACCCCAAAACCTCTCAATATGTTGGGTGTGTTGTTTGTAAAAAGCTAATTCCAGTATCACTGTTTGAAACAATTGTAAGTAATTCAGTAAAATTCATAATTTAATTTAATTTTTCGAATTTCTCAGTAGTAGGTAATAAGTAAATGAAATAGTAAACGAATGCCAGCAACGAACTAATATCCTATATCATAAAAATGATAAAATATACTTTTCTCATTTTCTAAAATAGATCACAAACGATTAGCAATAGCGATAAATTGTATGCGATGTACTGGAGGCGCGATAACAAACAAGAGTGGCGGGGCGATAAATTTTATACGGTGTACTGGCGGGGCGATAACAAACAAGTACCTAATTTAAAAAAAATAAATTTAAGTTCTGCCTTTTAATAGAGTGCTGCAATAAAATAATATGAAAGAAATTTTATAAGTTAAATTTATTTTACAATTAAATATGAATTATTTCCATACAATAGCCTAATTTACAAATGTAAATAAAAAATAAAAGTAATAAAAGTAAGTCTCTGTGTGTGTTAAGTGTAATTGGTTTGGAAGGTATGGGGGCTAAGGTGATCTGAAACTTATGGTAATTACACAGAATAAATGAAATAATGGTAATAATTGGTTATGGTAGTGGTAATAATTACTAAATTGTGTTAATCTATTAACGTTATATAATTTTTATAAATTGTCTGGGTATAATAAGGACTAGCTTCCATATTACATTATATATTTTATATTTTTGTAAAACCTATTATCCTTATTGTATACATTTTAATAACTCAGAAACTACTCGTTTTAATAATTGTGATATACATCAATATTTTCAAATGATAATTATCTGATAGTCAATTTACAGTAAAAATTATTGGTTGTAACAAAAAGATATGCATAAATAATTGTAACTTTTTCTTAAAAAGAAATTTATCTTATTATTATAAGATGTAAGACTAATCATAAGTATAAAAATTGTTATTTTATTGGAGACCGATAAAAAATTTGTTAAGTTAGGTCTCAAAAGTACTTAGGTACTTCATTATTATTTATGTTATTCTTTCCCCTTTCCATATATTATGTTATATTATTATATAACCTAATCCCACATGAGTATAAATATTTAATATTATTTTCATTTAAACATTTTCCAATAACTTAACATGTAAAAATATTACATATTAAGATATGATTAGATATTTGGTAACCAAAAAAATACTTAACATAGGTACATTGATAATGTTTAATTTAAACTGGTATTTAAAATAACATTTGTGTGTTAGTATTTTAAATATTAAAATTAAATCTAAATAATTTCATAATAAAATATTTTTGTTACAGAACATCATGACTTTCCCTACTGCTGTAAAAAAATCCGGACCTCTTACAATCTCCAAAACTGGATCAGGATCAAAGACTAGATCACCCGGGTCTCCTCTGAATGCTCCTGCAAAGACGATTCTACCTACATCTTCTAAAGCACCGCTAGCTAGTAAAGCTCCTGAAAAGGTCAATACTGCATCATCCATGAAAAAACCATCTGTTCCTTTGAAAAGTTCAACTGTTAAATCTGTAACTAAAACTGTTACTGATGCTAAGTTAGAACCTGAGAAGACATTAGCTTCTGCTGCCAAAGGAGTGACAAGATCTGTGACTAAACCTCCTCCACTCACTATCAAAGTAACAGATGCCAAAGGATTACAATCTCCAAAAACTCCAACAACATTATCGATAAAATCTCAAACGTTGACCAAGTCCCCATTGGCGACTAAGCCTGCATCAGTTTCTAAATCAACTTCGGTTCCAACTGGAATAGTTAGATCACCATCCATTACTAAATCAGTTACTTCGCCTATGACTAAATCTCCTCAAGTAAAATCTACTTTAACACCAAAATCATTTGCTGTGTCATCTCCAGTTGCCAAATCTCCTTCAACAACAGTAACGTCTAAAACGTTAACAACAAATTCTGCGGTTCCAAAATCACCAATGAAGCTCACCAATTCAACCCTTGCAGCTAAGTCTGTAGCATCTACAGCAATTAAAGCGAGTGCTACATCATTAAAATCTAAAGAACAAGCAACTGTTGTAAAACCTATGACTCCAGTTAAAAAAGCAGCTATACTGTCTATTAAGAGTTCTGCAGGTGTTAAAAGTCCGACTATACCAACAAACAAACCATCAGTGATATCAAAAAGTCTATCTACAGCTTCTAGCATGAAATCAATTTCTTTGAAGACACCTACTTCTCCTTCAAAATTATTAACCAAAGAACCATCTAGCACTGCAAAAGTTTCTTCATTACAGTCTACTAACAAATCTAATGTGATTTCTAAATCAAATCCAACATCTTCAAAAGCTGTTGTTAAAAAAGAATCCAGTTCATTATCATTACTATCTGTGAAGTCTTCTTCGACAATTAAGTCTACTACTTCAGTAGTGTCAAAAACTTCAACATTGAAAGCCAATGCTACACCATTGTCATCATCAGTTGCTAAGAATTTGGTTCCAAAGTCGCCAATAGCCAAAACAAAGCCATTAGCAGTGGTACAAATTCCATCATCACCTACAGTAAGAACTCCATCATCGCCAATTGTTAAAACATCATTATCTCTAGCCGCAAAAACCAAAACTCCGCAATCGCCAACAATTAAAACTAGAACTCCTTCACTATCGTTGGTAAAACCACCTTTATCACCAGCAGTGAAAAGAATGGTACCAACCAAATTGATTTTAAGCCCTGGACCATCTAAAAGCAGGTCACTTTCATCTTCTAAACTCAATTCAGTTTCAACTGAAAGTTTGGCTTCTAGAACATCCCTGAAATCTCCCATGACTCCTACTAGATCAATCAAAGTGGTAACAAAAAGTCCTTCAAAAATAACTAAGAAAATTGAAGAACCAAAAGCTAAAGGTATTCGTGGTGGACAACCCGTTAGGAAGACCATTGAAATTCCAGGAATAACTGAATTACCTTCTAATCTGGTTTTGAACCAACAAGAAACTCTTCAGTTCAATTTTGTATTAGAAAATGCTGATGAAACTGTTTTGAAAGATGAAATTGGATCCATAATCACTCAAACACCAGATCAAGATTTGTCAGAACTTGAGAAATTAGAATCTCCCAAAATGGTTGAAAACATTGATGATGGCCTATGTTTGGCTAATGATTTTGTTAATGAAGAAAGTACAACGTCAAACATAGTGGATGCTCAAAATGTCAGTTTGTCACCGGAGGTCCAAGAACACAATTTAGAAACTATTGAAGAGGACATAACAGAACCTAAAACAATGCCGTCACTCGATGAACAGAAACAAGAAGACGTTTGTATTTTATCAGACTTTGAAGTTGTAAAGAAGGATGATTGTGTGCCACATTTAAATAGCATTTCTTACTCTGTTAATAACTGTGGTATTTCTTTTGATGAAAATCATTTTAATATAACTAATGAAAATGTAACTACTGAACAGTTGGACGAAACACAATCGTGCATCATAGATATTGATGATCACTTTGAACCCATGAATGACAAATTAGTTCTAGGAGACGTGCCTTTTGAAACCGATTCAAGTCAAGATGAAATTTCTGATAATGAACAAACTATTCAACAGGAAGTAATCCAAAATGAAAACTGTGGTGCAGAACAAAACGAATGTGTTGATGATGTGTTTATATTCACAGACAATTTATCATCAATTAATAATTTTGATAGTGCTGATAGTACTGAAAATTTCATTCATCAATTTATGCCAAAATCAATTGAGCGGTCAGTAGGTTCATTATCTATTAGTACAGATGACGAAAGTCTTCTTAGTCGTAAATCTTATTCAGAAGCTGTTTCGGGATCTCCTAAAGATGGTGAATATTATTTTGACTATGATTTTGAAATGGTTGACGATTGTTTGGAGTATGATGATGAGGGACGATCAGTATTTGTTGAAGTGACAGAAAAAGAATTTCCAGAACTCAAACCAAAAGATTTATCTGGCAAAAGAAGGAGGAACAAAAAACAAAAGAAAAGGAATTATAGTAACAGATCAGAATCTCAATCAGGTAAATATTATTTTTTTATCACATAATATAATTATTTTTATAAATTATGATTTTTAATAAATGTGGTTTATTATTTACATTTTAGATTCAAATACTGAAATAAATTACAACCCTGAAGATTTTGATGGAAATGAATTTTGCCGCTACATCAAGATGATGAAGGATTGTTCATTTTATCCAAATGGATTATTTTCGTCAGATTCAGTCAAATTATCTACTTCATCATCCCTATCGTGGTTAGACATATCTGTTCGTACAACTGATGATGACTTAACACCATCCACAGAATACTTAAGTACTTATGAAGTTTTCCAAGCAAGTAATCTGAATAAAGAATTCTTAACCTCAATAATTGGTTCCAATGAAACAACTACGACAAATGAAACTTCGTGGTTTTGGAAATCTATTGAGGGTAAACATCAATCGCACAATAAAGCCAATATAACGCTTAGTCTTCAACCAAGACCTAAACATTTAACTACACCTCGTTTCATGATTCTTTTGGCACTCATTAGTGAGGCTAAAGGTTATGAAATTATACCATCATTGTCTGTAAATTTTGCCACTAAAGACTGTGTGCCCAGATTTGATGAAAAAATTAGACGACTCATGGTTCAAGGATTTTGGCTTATTGGACCTTTAATAAAAGAAAGTTTGTCCGAGGATGAAGAAGTGAACTGTGAAAATCCGTTTGAGTTTGTTGATGGTGACATTGGTTTATGGTGGGCAGGAATCAATATGTTGGATTGGCAAGAACATTTGAAAGAATGCGGTAGTAAGAACCAAGAACTACCCAACTGCTATCAGTTTGTTGTTGAAAATATGGGTATGACTAGACGCAACACAGCTGAGGCCGAAGCAATCATGAATGCTGTACCTGATGACTTTATGAGTGAACTCGATATGGAAAATTTCATTCACACTGTGCGTAATGTCAAGTACTACTGTGGTAACTATTTTGTGGACAGTGAAGAAAATTTAGAAGCACAAAATGAAGTCTTGGAAGATAATGATGATGATCTCATAGAATGGGAAAATAGCCCTGTTGAAAAAATTTAAATACTTTATGGTATTGTTAAGATTTAAATTATATATATATATATAAATTCACTATTAAGTATTTAGTAAGGTAAATAACAATATAAATATAATGACAAAAAATCAAACTGTTATGTTTTAACGTAAATTCATTAATTTAACATATATTATGTATTTTCTTCATTTAAATTTCTAAATGAGAACTATAGACTAAGTATAACAATAAATTATTGTGATGTATCATATAGACAATTAATATAGTTAAAAGTATAATAATAGTTTAGCATGTTTAAATATTTTACCTAACTGGTAAATTGTCATTTTGACTTCAACTTTGTAACACCAAAATATTAAAATAACTATAATTCAAATTGTGTATAAAATAAACTATTTATTATGTTTAATTACATTGTGTTGAATTTTTTTTAACAATCAAAAGCATAATAGTATATTTACAAGAGAAAAAACAATGAACAGCCAACAAAAATTGCACTACTATGAGAATCAATAAGAAATATAATATGTACACGTATTTAAAATATTCAATTTAGCATTAAATAAAATAATTCATAGGTAACATTGAAATAATAACATTACATTGTGTAAGGTACAAAATATCTTTAGTGATTACGTTGGTTTTCAAGTAGTTTTTTCCTAGAAACAATAGGAAACATTGATTTTTGTATAACCTAATAACTTATAATCATATTATAATAAACAAATAGATTATTGATTATAAAATAAAGTATCACAAACAATTATTGTTACAGTCTGATATTTAGAAATAATATTAAACAAATTTTAGTTTGATATGAATAATTTTAACAAATTGTCTTCATTCGTTAAGTTTTACTTCCGTCACAACACTAATTAGTAGATGGTAAAATAGAATAAAAATTTTTGAGATTAATGTTCACAAAATGCATAGTTGTTATTTAAGTACCAGTACAAATTAAGTACAAATTAGTAAAAAAAATCTATACAATTCAAATTTTGACAATCGTAATAATATGTACAAAAAAGAGAATTTTATCACTCAACATCAAAAATGTGTTTCCATAATTTTTTTAAAAGCCTATTAAACACCACATTTCCTTATCTGACACCATATTATCTTATGTTTTTATACTGAAACTACAATTTAATCAAGCTAAGATTATGAAAAACTGAACCAGTTCTTTACACATTTAATTCGATTTTATAAGAAGATTATATTTCAAATACATGTTTCAAAACTCAAAATACAAAAATAAAATATTGATTTAACAAATAATAATTAAATAATTTTAATATTTCATGTTTAATTGTAAGATTTTGTAATTTTATAATGTGTTATTTATTGAATATTCAAAATATTTGCTTAAAGTTAAATACAGTGATATATGAATAGTTAAATGCAAATAGTTAAATAAAACCTTATGAATAATTAACCTGTTTCCAAGTAATTCTATTGTTAAATAAGAAAAATTATTATGTTTGTTAACTAAAATGCAATTATGAAGCAAATTGAAGATTAATTTATTTTGAATAACATAAACATTAAATAATTAATACTGAAGTTTTTGAGTTATGGTACTGTAGTAGTTAAACATTTATTTTCTGTTTTTTTCTAGGTGGTTAATTTTTAAATGGATTATTCTTAAAAGCAAAATTTAAAAACCTAAAATAATAAAAAAAATAAAAATCGAAGTACATAGTTTACTAATATTATGTTTTACGAGGTATTTCAATTAAGTTTATTTACTAATTCTAGTTGTATCATCTAAAATATATTAGCTTTAGTAAATAAAACTAAAAACAAATATATATGTGATGTATTAAAATAATATTAAAAAATAAATCAATACAGTAATAAGCTTTACATTAAACAAGTGTCTTATACAATTTACAAATATCTGAAGTACATACAGTAATTAATGCAACATCCGTATAATATACTATACTCAATTGAGAAATAATAGAAATATTTTAACCTTTATTTTTAATTAAAAATTCTAAAAAGGTTTAATATTTATCAAATTTTTTACAATTAGTAATTTTATAAAATTTAGAGCCACTTAGAAGTACAGTAAACATTTAAGGAGTATAAAATTATTTTTTTTAAAAATCAAATATTTTGATTATTAGTCTAAATTGTCAAATTGGGTAGAGGTTTATGATAAAATCTAATCAGTAAAAAGTAACTAAGAATTATCAGCATCAATAACATTTTGAAGATCTTGTAAGTGGTTTGTATCTTGTGTCTGGACATTTGACGTTTCTGCTTTGTATAAAATATCATGACATAATGGGCATCGATCCTAAACCAAAAAAATTCATTAAAATTACATAAAAATAATATTAATTGATGTACAACTTTTTATTGAATTGCTATAAGAATCAAATTTACAATAGAGACTAAACCTTTATATTAGGGAGCCTTCTGCAGTACTTGAGTAAAAATATTAATGAACTTCTGAAATATTCAAATAAATTTGAATATTTGATACTTTCATAAAGTTTCTGTACTTAGAATAAATTAATAATATTGTCTGTGAGAATCTAATTTTATTTATTAAAACACACAAGATTTTTTCTAGTGTTTCAGTATCTTTCACATTAACAAATCTAATAATGAGAGTGTAACTTATTTTATTTTTAGTATAAATTATTCACCTGTACATAGAGCCATTTACGCAGACAAACACCGTGGAAATAATGATTGCATTTAGTAATTTTTGCTGATCCCATATTTTGATAACATATGGCACAGACATCATCCAATTCAGATAATTGGGCGCTAGTTGCTTCTGGTAAAGATTCAATTTTTTTCACAGCTGTACGGCGTTTAATAAATACTCTCCATCCATCCCTAGCGTCACACCATATGTTGAAATATGCATGTATACACATCATGGATGCACGGACAGCACCACCAGATACAAAAGCCATAATATAAACGCCATTCAGGAACAGAAAGATGCCAAAACAGAATTCCACCTAAAATAAAAATATAACTATAATATTATGAAATAAATGTTAAAAATTTCTAAAATTACCGTATTGCCAAATGATTTGATATAATACACATAATCATCTAATTTCTCCCAAAAGGTTGTGCGATAGGCATCAATTAAGAACAATGAATAGACAGCTAATGATACCAATACTTTTATAATAATTTCAATATTGAAAGAAGAAACTGCTAGTAGCCAAGTGCTAACTGAATGGTGAGACCACAAGTATGTCAACATAGTGATTGGAAACACTATAAGAAATCCGCAAACTAAAAGAGCTCTTAAATGTCTAAAAAATCAAATCAAATTAATTTAAAAACATTCTTGATAATGATTTATATATTACCTATTAAGTGAAGGATTATGTGAAGCACTCAAAGACATTAATAAAGGATTAACCACATTATGAATGTAATGCAGTAGGGCAGCACAAAGTAAACAAACATTACGATAGAGTCTTATAAAGCGCTTTTCTGGATCTAAACCTGTTAGTCCAGTCTGCAAAGCTAGTATATAAAATAATACTGCAGAAATTGTTCCAATACTTTTGTCATCGACGTCATCAGTTAAGAGCACCTAAATAAATAAAACATGAATAAATAATTAAAACCATCTGAACATTTAAATACATGTCCAGTATCTTACCCATTGGAAGAAAGCTCCAATATAATGACAAAAGTATGATACAAAACTTGTCATTCCTAAAACAGCGGTAAATGTGTCACAGCCTTTAATTAACAAATATTTCACAGCTCCAAATAATGTTTCATTTTGTATTTCCATATCAGTTAACAGGTATAAAATTTGTTCCAATACTCGTATGGCCCAAAATATTCGTAGAACACTTGGAATTTGGAGACGAGTCCATTCCACTTCAACCAGAGCAGATATTCCATAATTACTAGAACAAAATACATAATATCCTCTTTGTAGCTCCTGCTAGGCGTATAAATTGTAAAATAAAATAAATAAATAAATATATTAAATGATAGGTACACAGTAAACAGTAAAACTTGCTTAAGACACTCCTGCTAATGCGCTTTTTTGCATCAGATCATAAACATTTCCTATACTAGTCAATGTAAAAACCACCTGTTGAGATGCTTGATTTTTCTCAATCTAATCCGATAAGACGCTCTTTTGTTCAGCAGATTACAATAAATTTCAGTAATTGTGTGAAAATAAAAAAAGAAATTTTACTCATTTAAGTGTACTTATCGCTTTACTTTATCGCTATACCTTTTTTATCATTACCTATTATTATAGTTTTACTATATTTCATTGTATTATGAGATTTAGTAAGTGCAGTTTGTTAGCAAGTGTACAATCGTAATTTCGTTATGGCTGTAAAACGTAAAGCACTATCAATTTTAGACAAACTTGACAATTTGAAGTAATGAGATGAAGGTTTGACCGAGAAAAGAAATGAAAGATATTGCTAATGAACTGAAGATGCCTCCCCCTTCAACTTTAAGAACTTTGTTGAAAAATAGGGAGCTAATTCGGTATGCGCTCTATAGACAAGTTTCTGACTTGGTATGTGCTGTACATAAGTTGATTTGATAGTGTTTTATTTTATTATTTATTCATATTCTGAATGTCTTTTAACATGGCGAGAAAAAGGTCCTGCTTGTCATGACGGTAAAGTCGCCAGCAATAGTGATCAAGCTGGGACTGCAAATTATTTAAAGGAACACCCCTCGTTTTCTTTTAATTTTCAATTAATAAATAATACACACAAAAATAAATATTACTCTTAAAAAACAACCTCAATGAGCGCTATCGCTATGTAACTGAAAACCAAAAAGACGACTGTAATAAAATTTAAAGTAAATATAATTAGAGAAGATCAAAAATAAGATAGAGTAGTAAGAAATACCCAACAAATAAAAACAAAGTAATATGTAATATAACATTGTCCAATATCCCCGTACCAAACGTAGACCGAGTACAGAACAGCAAAACCTGTAGTGTTCTAACCTGTCAAAAAACTGGACTATAGAGAGCATATCGAATTAGCACAAAAAATAGACATGACCTAAAACAAAGCGGGTGGGTAGGTGGGAGCAAACAACAAAAAGTAAGACACGGGAAGTATGAAGAAGTGGAAAATGTTTTATTGGAGTGGTTTCAATAAGCTCGCAGTTTAAATTATCTAATAAATGCAGGTGTTATCACAGAAAAGGCTATGGAGATTGTTGTACATCTCAACATTACCAAATATAGTGGATCAGTAAGCTGGACAGATTTTGTAGTAAGCATGGCTTCAATTCCTACATAAGACGTTTGAGGGCTGTTCCCATAAAGAGCGTCTTGAGCAAATTTCACTGTACATAGTTTACATAAATTATTGAGATCATACTTATTAGTTGGCAGTGTTGGCACATATAAATAATCATAATATAGCTAGTAATAGTAATAATAATGTTCAAAATGGCCTTACTTGATGGTCTCTCGTGTACGACTATATCCATTACGAATTAAATTTGTAATTGTAAATAGATTTAACCATAATGTTTTCAGCATTATAAACAATGGCAACAATGTTGATAATACCGTAACTGTATTCAAAAATCCATGTCTCCAAGTACCGGGTAAAAATGCGACTAAAGTAGGAATAGTAAAGCTAAAGCTGAAAACCTGAAATATTTTTTATACATTACTTTTTATTCATATTAAAGTTATTAGATAGTATATGTATTTACTTTATGGATTGATTGATTTGTTGTAAAGACTTGTAAAAAGTCAAATACTAAAGATAAACAACACTGTAGGATTAAATTGCGGAATAACAGGTATAAAAAATGTGCGATTTGTAATTCTGTAAGAAGATATAAAAATCCATCTACATCCCATGTTATATCTTTATTAAAAGCATCAGTTTCAAAGTTTTCATATTTTCCGTATATAACTTTTAGTGTTTGTATGTTTGCCCAATAAGAAAGAAGTACAATACAGACAGAAACTACATGGAAGTACACTAGATATAAGTATCTGGCAGGTAGAACAAATAAACATGACGACGAACAAAATACTAGAAAAATTAAAAATTAAATTAAATTAACTGATGATGTTGAATAGTTATTTTTTTGGAAAATGTATTTAACTTACTCAAACAGGATACAATTATTTTGATGAAGGATAGAAATATGGCCTTGTAATATTGTGCGGACTCGCTGATCTCAATCTGACTGAGTGTGCTATTTACAAACTCATTATTTACTGGAAATACTATATCAGCCAAATCTGGAAACCCGAAACTAGTTTTGAAGAGTTCATCCATAATAAATATGGGTGGAACCCTTAACAAATTACAGAGGCTCATGATAGCTATAGTTTTGAATATTTAACCTCAAACTACATATAACAAAACCTGAAAATAATTACAGAAATTAAGAACATACTGGTAATATAAAATCAGAAATAATAATATGTAAATGATTACTTGGACTTTATGAGGACACAGATCAACAACCACAGGTACAGCCAACGATGAGCAGAAATTATTTATTGTCAAAAACATGTGAATAATTTATAGTATCATGTTGATGATACGTTTTGATTAATCAAGGTGATTTTTTTTTCTTGTTGACAAATACATAATATTGTTTAATCCTGAAAACATACTGTGCAGCAGAAAAAGGAGGGCAATTACGACGAATATTATCGGTAGAAGATGGGTAACACTTTTAAGTACGGAACTCGATTTCCTCGGTATTACACGGTACGGAAGTTAAACATATCCAAAGTTACACATCGATTCGAAATCTTATATTATTTTATTGACTGTCGTGAGTGTCGTCAGTCATCGTACACGAATTGGCGATTGTATAATTTATGATTAGCGATTTGTAATGACATATCTCCTTCACCACACAATATTCATTCTGATCAGACCTGTCCTGCGGCAGGATAGCAAGCAGCTGACTATAATCATAATAATGATATTATCATAAAACCAAGGTATAAACGATAACCTTCTCTACCGTGATAAAACAATAAAGTTATTGTTTTTTTAAATAATCATTTCGACGCATAAATCCACGGTCGATTGTAATAATTTTTGATTATTATTTTTTTAAATTAATGTCGATAGAATATTTTCGCTCAGTCATTAACTTGAAAATGTTATGATTCCTCAAATGTTTTTGTAAGTGAAAATTTAAAAAACGTTGAGCGTAAATCCGCAATAATTTTTTATGAGTGTGAAGTTCAATTTTTATAAAATTTATACAAATTATTTTGTAGTAGAAATTCACAAACAATTTTCTTGTTATATCTGAGAATTGAAAATTTAATACTATACAAGATTCCTCATAAGTTTGTTTACCTTTATTAAAACCAAAATATCTAGGTACCTACCGGAAAGCCAAATTAAATATTTATGAGCGTTTGAACTTTAGAAGTTCAAAGTTTTACAACATTGGCTATTTATGGAGTAATTTTCTTAAAGCATTAGAAGTTAAAATGTTGATAAAATTTATTAAATTGAAAATTGACAAATCATTAAGTAGTTAAAGATGTATTAAACGTTTCGCGTTTGACTTTTATAGCTAAGAGTTGAAAAATTAAAACAAGGTTCCGCGTAAATAGGTAGTTCATTTTGTAACCAAAAAATCTGCGAATATATAAACACAATTTTTTTAAGTTCAAATTTGGACGAAATTACAAAATATTACACATCAAAGAATAACGATTTTAGTTTTATTATTGTTGTAATTTAAAAATATTATTCATGGGTACTTGATAGTTGATCCTTTTGAAGTATATTATTACATACAAATATGATACCTACTATAGAAATATCGTTATTAAATTCTACCGGCTATAGTAATAATAACAATATAATTATAATATAAAATATCCTAATCGTCTCCGCTCAGAATCGTTTTTCTTGTATGTACAATGATATTAACTGAAGTTGAAAATTAAAGTAGACGGTATTATTTTGCCTATATTTTGTCCTATGTACAGACAGCCACACAACAAGTAATAAAAAAACACACATCGTTGTAAAATTAATATATTCATTTCCCCGCTAAGAAACAAATATAATTCATATAACTTCATATGTTTTGAATTTAGTTCAATAAGTGTTCTTTATAAATTATTACATAGAACAAAACGGCCAAGAGCTTAGTTTGGACGTAGCCAAATAAATAATAATAAATAAATCCAATGACTTAGGTACTCAGAAACTTGAACCTTCATGACATGTCGCATCTGTCACAGAAGAACTAGTTGATATAGATTCTCTATAAATAATTCATTAAAATTGTATAAATTATATTTTATGTGAAACTGGTTTGTAGGTACCCATAATTTTCTATACCGCCATGAAATTGTCTACTTAATAAAAATTGCAAGAATATGATTGGTTGAAATGAAGCTCGATTAGAAAATAAAAAAAATTACTTACAAAAATAGGTACCTATCTATATACAAATCTTACACCCAGTGGCGTATTTACGGGGGGGGGGGGTCCCCGGGTCTCGACCCCCCCCCAGAAAAAAAAAAGGTTAAAAAATCATAAATAGCTTGCTACGTGGTATTGAGAAAAATAATATTAATTTATATTATCATTATGTGTTTTAATGTTTGTATTACAATATTTTTAAAAATAACTTGAGTTTAACTATTGGTTATGTTGTTATCGCTTCGTCGCCATCAGAAAATCAATTCTTCGATTTCATATTGAAAATTCATCAGAAACATCCACAAAAAAATCATTGAAAAGAAGTTGCGAAACTAGATGGATAGAACGATTTCACGCAATAAACGATTTTATAGAACTTTATGAGTATGTCATTGAAGCATTGGATACAATTTCAGAATGGGACGATAACGATACTTCGAATAAAGCAAGACGTCTTAGAAGTTCTATTTTAGATATAGAGTTTTTGATATCATTATTCGTATTGAACAAAGGTTTTAGTATAGGTTTACCACTTTCAAAGTTCCTACAAAAATCAAATATCGATCTTAAATTGGCTGTACAATTAGCAAATGATACAAAAAAAGAATTACAAGAACTTAGAACACACGTCGATGATGTTTTTAAAAAAATATTTGAAGAAGTAAAAGTAGTAGCCGAAAAATTCGATATTGAAATTAAAATTCCGAGATTATCAAAAAAACAAACTAATAGAAGCAATATACCATTAAATACTCCGGAACAATATTATCGAGCATCAATTTTAATTCCTTATCTTGACAAATTTATTACAGAGTTAGAAGAAAGGTTCAATGTTCATCGATCGATTTTATCAGGTTTCGATTCTCTATTTAGGGAAAATGGTCCCATTGAAGATATTATAATTCTTTCAAATAAATACAATGCAGATTTACAGAATGATGGAACTCAAAATGAAATTATTGAAGCAGAGTACAAATTATGGCAGAGAAAACTCATGCAAACAACAGAGAAACCAAATAATGCTCTAGAGGCTATGGCTATGTGTAACCAGTCAATTTATCCAAATATATTTAAACTTCTTCAAATCTTAGTCACGCTTCCTGTTTCCTCTGCAACAAATGAAAGAACATTTTCAAACTTAAAAAGAATAAAAACATATCTAAGGAATTCCATGTCAGAGGTAAATTATTATAAACTTAAAAAATTATTCTTGTAATTTACAATTAATAAAATATTTTATTTATTTTTTTGTTTAAAGGGAAGATTGAACGGTTTAGCTATGCTATCAATAAAAAAAAACTATTCAATAAAACCAGAAGAAGTTATTGAAGAGCTGGCGAAAAAAAAAAGACGTCTACCTTTTTTATTATAAAAACTATTAAAACTATTAATTGACATTTCACATTTGTATTCATAATAATAATGAAATATATAAATAATATCATTATTAAATCATAACTCGTATGTATTTTTTTTATAATATTATAAGCTTATACTTAATATTTAGACCCCCCCCCATAAAAAAATTGAAAATACGCCACTGCTTACACCTATATATCTGTTACTTTTTTTATAAATTATATCAGTTACCCGGTATTGTTGATAAGTTATATATCATATAAATAATAATTATAAGCTATTAGGCTTTTTTTTTTTTGTCTAGATTTGTGTTCTTTTGAAACAATAAATTATGTTTGTATAAATCGCTGATTGTAATTGTACTTTAACTAGATGCCTATAATAGATACCTCACGTTTATTGCAATTTTTTTTCTTCGAAAATTAAATAAATTCATATTTAAAAAATGATATAGGTCAAAAAAGGCATCCTGTAATTTGTATAGTGGCTTGAAAGTATGCAGATACGATGTGTCAATGCCTTGAGTAAACTGTAAACATGATGTCATTTATCTGAAGAGGGTATTATAACTTACTTACTTACCTATTTAATTTTTTATTTGCAGATCTCCTTGTATTAGAAAATTAATACCCACAACGTTTAATTTAAATCCTTTTAAGATTTATATATTATATTTTCAGAGTTGAAGTAACTAATAACATACCAATCGGAAATCAGTGATTTTTTTAAAAATAGACATTAATTAATAATTTATATAGGTACATTTACGTGTGTTTTTTAATTTTCTACACATGATATGTTACTTGTAGCGACGCCTTCGCCAATTTGTATTCTAAAAAAATATTCTATCTGCATACAAAGGAATTCCGAATAACAGAGACACGTTTTTTATTTTCGTCTTTAAAATCTATCCTATGAACTATCCTACGAAGGTATGAATATTGGTCAATAACGGTAGAAAAGAAATGGAAAATTGTATACCTAAGTAGTGATCGACCTGTTATGAAACTTGTTGCGGTAAGGATATTTGGTATCTGTATGTGGGTTATGAGCATTTTTAATTTACGCTATATTATACTCGCAAAACTTACTAAAAAGATTAAACTATCGTAAAAAGACCACATACACACAGATAATGTTTTTACCATCAATTTTCATAATAGGTAAACGTGATCTACTGAGAGTAAATTTGCCATGTTGGCACTTAAAAGACTGAGGCAACAAAATATGTCCGTGTAGCTAGTTTTAATAAATTACATCAGGACGCGCATACGTCATAATATATTCACAGTATATGTCCACGATTTAAGATAGTCTATTGTGGCTATGTCCAACAACACAGTAAAGTCCTTAGATCACATTGTGAAATGGATAAACTTGGCTAATCGTGCCTAACCAACTTATAAACATGGCCTTGTAAGGTTGTGACCTAAAGGCGCCTCCGTGTCCGTGCTCAAAATATTCTTGTCGTTAATTAATTGATTTTCTCTCTATCCGCCAAATTAAATTATAATGATATTGTTTATAATAAAAAACAATACAACGATTTCACGATTTTAGACCATAATTGTTCCAACTTCACCTACGGCGGAAGAAGGCTGGTTTCCACTGGACTGTTTACGTATCTTCCTGTTCTGCGATATTGTGGACTGTGGTAACGTTTTCTAATAAGAAATGCGGAGTGCGGACACGGTTGCACTATAACCTGTTGTTATTTTTCCAGGATAAGATACTTACCACTATTTAACAAACAATAGCTCAAAATTCGAATTTCAAACTTTATTACTTATTTGAAGTAAAAAGCGTGGTCAATAAACAGTACCCATTATGGCTTTATTTACAGTTTATTAGCTACTTAAATAATTTTTTTATTATATCATTAAAGTTATATAACACATTTTTTTAATGATTTTATAAAGACTGACTGTTTCATTGCCAAAAAACCACATTTATGACAGTTAGTACTTTCCCATTTGTAACAAATTTAGGTATTTTTACAAACAATCAAATGTATAGAATTACAAAACTATTAGTTTTATTTTTCAATTTTCAAAATGTAAATATATAAATTTATATAATTGTACAAAATAAATGATAAATATTGATTGTTATTGCAACATTAAATGGACTTTATAATTACAAATTACAGTAACATATTAATAATAAGTAACAGTATAGTATTAACAACTAGTAAAATATAAACGATACAAATATCTGAATAGGTATACTAACAAAATACAAAATTTTAGACTAGGTACTCTGTAATTCTTGTAATTAACATTGAATAAACATATAGTTTGTTAATATTTAAATTTTTTTAGTGAGAATTTATCCCATTTAATTTGTGCCCTATGCCCCAATATAAGATTCAAGATTTTGATTTTATTTTACTTAACATATTTTAGAATATATCAAATAATATAATCATGATCATAAATCTAATACAAAATACAATGTTTATTTAAAAGTTGTAATAATTATATAAATGGGTTAATAATTTTGGTTCATTGTTAAGATAGTATAATTGATCCCGATTGATAGTACTTACTAAGTTATCAAGAAACTAAAAATAACTAAAAATTATAAAACACACATAACTGCTGTATAATGTATTATGTGGTATAGTGGTACCTAAATGTGAGTGGTGTCATTTTATTTTATACAAACAAATAATGTATATTATACATTCATATAACACATTTCAACTTTATAGTAATACTACTTACAAGTTATTCCAGTATAGTACTAACTTTACAAATTAACTCAATTTAGACTTAGACTTTATTACAATTAATAATAATAAAAATTGAATAATTATAATAATATATGTAAGTTTATTTAAAAATAATTTTTTTATTGTAATATCAATGATAACAGTATTTTAATTATTAGTATAATTAATTTGATTTGTAGTACCTAGTAGCCATTTTCAAGTCTTACCACAGACTATTTTTTTCATAATATCCACAAATTGTGTTATAAAAATATTTCAAATTTTGTCAACAAAATTCTTAAATAATACTTGATTTTTTAAAACTAAGGCTGTAAATAGCACCGTGCAAAAGGAATACACAAAGAAACATTCAAAATGCAATTACAAAATTCTTATAATCTTTGGTTGAGGGAAGTACCTATTGCTGATGGAACTAACGAGACATTAAAAATTGTTATCTTTTTTTAAAATAAATCTCTGATAGTAGATTTTTTAATCTATAAATATGTAATAAAAGATTTGAATTCAATCTTGAATTCCATACAATATGTAAAAACAGTCTTAACTATATAAGGTAGGTATGAGTGACATTTCAATCAAATCATATCATCCAAGTTTTCTTAATAACCTTATACTATAATAATATTATATATTACATTAAGTTGAGCATTTTAAATAGTAAACAGAATAATTAAGAACAATAAAAAAAAATGTAAATTTATAAATTACCAAATACTAAAATACACTAAATGAATGTTTTCAATAAACCAAACTTATTTAGAATATACAATCAGTTACTTACATGCCTAGGTACTTCATTTAATACAATTTAACCATTAACAAAACACATTTTAATATATTTAATTATGGAAGGAATGTATATGTAAATTATAAACAATCTTATTTTTAATCAAAATGTAAAAGGTAAATGGAATATAATACAATTCTTTATAAAAAAAAAATGGTTAATAGATAAATATTATTGAAAAGAATCTTTAAATGTATTCTATAGATAATATTATTAATTCTATGGTTAAGAAATGAAACCTCAGAAAAAGTAAAGGCCATACAAAATAAATGTAAAAACATTATGCTACAAAATAGTCATTACTCTTTAGTTGACTTAAAAACACCATTGACTAATATATAATTTACATTATTTATAATTAAATATCTGTAATTAAGTATTGCTCATGAAATGTTAATTAACTTAATATTGAGTCAAATTATTTATGGCATTATTTGTTATTATGTTTGATTTTTAATTGTGTGCTTTTTTTTACCTAATTATAAATTCACAAATCTGTGACAGAAGAGCTTTTTTTTGATGAGTTATTCATTTTAACAAATCTTTTCTCCGAGGAGTCCACTCTATAATAATAAAAAAAAAAAATACATGTTTTAAAAATGTATAATGTATGATTTAATTTTTATAAAAGACTACTAACAGTTACTTAATTTTTAAAGTATGTATTTGAATTTGGAACAGTTTTGTTTAACAGTATTTTTTAAGTTTAATATAATTTGTAAGCAATGGCACTAGGATTCTATTTATTAAAATTTTCTATATAGCTGTATTTTTGTATGGCTACAATGCTACATATAAGATAGTAAAACAACAAATAGTATAAAGCGAGAAGTATCAATCTTATGTATAGTCTTATATTTTACCTTTTTGATTTATCACTAGATTTTTCTAATTTTTCTAGACGCTCATTTATTAATGACAATTGAGAACTTCCATTCTGTAAAAATAATGTATTTAATATTTGTAAATAAAAAAATTGATTTTTGCAGAAATTACTTACAGTAATTTCGTTTTTATTAACATTAAAAGAATTTAACTTTGACTCTAATGTTTGTTCCATTAATTTATGTGCTGCTCTTATTTCTTGAACAATATCTAAATAAAAATAACACATTATTATTTATGTACTTTACTGAAAATTACATAAAGTAGTGTCCACTGCATATGTCTACAAAGGTAGGTGAAGTAATAGAATTCAGTAGGGGCGAAAAAAGTTTTTAGATGTCTATAACGTTTTATGAATTCATGACATAAAGTGGTATATTACATAAAGCTGTTATGAATCAATGAATGGAATTTTGTGTGTTAAGGTTAACCTATCATTACAAATCAAACTGGTTTAGACAGCCGTTTTAATCAATAATTTTATCAAACAAGCGAAAGCTGAGAAAATGACCTATATAAAAGACTAAATTCAGTGCCTCAGCATATAGGTGTACAAATATTTAATAGGTACTTTTGAAAATTACTTGTAATAGATCCTGGATCTGTACAACCACATTTGTCGTTATTTTTACTTGATATATCCAATTTTAAATTTCTTAATTCAATTTTCACTAATTCTAATTCGTTAGCTAGTCTCTGATTATCTTTTTTCAATTCGGCCACTTCATTAGCATAGTAGGTATCATACGATCCTTGGTCTGATTCACTGCTCAGTAGTTCAAATTTATCATCTTGGTTATTTAAACCTGGATCACTATGTGTACGTTTGATTTCAGATTCGTTGTCCGCAATATTAATAGGAGGTAAACTAGTAAATTGATCTCTGGATGACATATGTTGACCGGGTTCTAGATATTCTCTGCCAATACCGACTGACACATATGGTTGATAAATGGGATATAAGGTATGAAAGCGTGGGTCGACAGGTATATTAACTGGAACAGGATAGCCACATACAGCAGAGTCTGACATTGTAGGATACAATCGTTGATTGGAGTGATTCCACTGGTGTGGAGAGAATTCGGATATTTGTTCATTACAACTTGGTGGCCGATTATCAACCTTTGAATTTCTTGATCTTGAAGGTTTGGGCTTTTTTGTAGCGTTATAATGGTTTCTATTATTAGCAGAATCTCTTTCAAAATTATAGTCAGACAAATTTGTTCTGTAATTAAAAAAATTCACACAGACATACATAGTGATGTATAATAAATAAGTATATAGATAAATTAAATTTAAGTTAGTTTTATTGTAATATAATTGTTACCTGTTAAAGTTGAACATTTTATATTTATGTTAAAATAATAAAATCCAAATTTGTTAACTAATACCTAAAAATCCAAATAATAAATTTTATTAATTCTAATGAACCATTTTATTTTTATAATATTAAATTAACTGATAGTGTAGGTATGATGATAAAAATTATGATAACACAATTGATGGCCATGATGACGAAACTATGTGGAAAAAATAATAAATACAAAATATACATAAATATATTATGCAATATACATACTAATATACTATGAATATTAACTATACCGACATTAGTCAGTAAAAAAACCTTCACGTTACCTAGTTAGTACTTAGTAAGAATAGGATATAAAATGGATTTAAAGAACTCTAAAAATGTACAGAGAAAATGTGATTAATGTATTATATATTTATCCTAATTTATGAGTGATTTTGTGTGAACACCGGCAATTTTATTTTATTATTACTTATTGCATTAATATTTTTAGATAACGACTTTTTAGAAAAATGAATAATTATTGATTTGATGCGAATAAAACAAAAATAGTGATGATTAGATATTTATTGAAAATGTAAAATTTATTATATTCTTAATTCTTATTCAAACAAAGGTAGATAAATAATAAGACATAGGATTCCATACATTATAGTTGATTATGAAATGTATACTGTAAGAACTAGGGGAAAAACTTAAAGAACAATATACCTATACATTAAAAATAGAAACAAGTATCTATAGCAACATATCTTGCACAAACCCCAATTATTTTATGTACAATATAAATTGGTTACCAACCTGTCATGGAAAATACAAATAATAAAAAATTTTAAAAATGGATTTTTTCATTTTTTTTGCAATATTTATTTATGGATGATAAAGCAAACAAAATATTTCTAAGTTGAGTGTTTTAAAAAATTAAATAATCATTTTTATTATTTTTTATTTATTTGAGCAACTATAATAACAAATATATTGTTCTATGATAATAATACTGAATATAATGTTATGTAATGCACTGACTAAAAAAAAAAACTGAAAAGATTAAACAAACTTAAAACAATGAAAATTAAATTTAGTATTTTTTTGGTAACAAAAACATTATGGCTTAATATGTTTGATGAGATCAAAAATAAATAAGAATAATACAATTAAAAATAATTATACAATAAATGACATTATAAATCTAGTTTCCTGAGGTGTTTAACTTGTTTTGATTGATAATGTTACTATAGTACAGTACATTATTATAGTTCAGAGGTTATTTTAAGTTAAAACATGACTCAAACACCTTAGGATACTTTGTATTAAAACATAACAATACAATAAGACTACATTTTACTATAAGCCCAAATATTTAGCAAATTTTTTAAGCTAATGACATAATATTTATTAATTTATTGTTAATTATTATAAATTTATAATCTAGTATAACAATTTTTAAAACAATAAAAAAAAAAAAATAATATAGAAGAGAAAACCCACAGTCAACGATAATATAATAAATTAATTAAAAATTAATATTTTATAGCTTATTACTGACTTACATGAACACAATTATAAGGCTTATTTTTCTAGGGGCTAAATTTTTACTAGTTTAGGGACGGATTTACATCATTGCTGACCCCTGTTCACTTTAATCTTTTAGTTCATTAGTCATTTTTTTTTTATATTCCAACTGGCCACCAATAAATTATATAAAAAAAAACATATTGTTCGACTAGTAATAAATTGATTAGATACATATTTAAAAATAGTTAATGAATCGTTCAATTGTGAAATCAAATAACAATTCAATAGGTATTTAGTGAAAGTCACTGTTCAACAATCATATTTTCAAAAAAACCTGCCATTATATGCAATAACTGTTACGCAAAATACAATTTAGGTAATTTAAAATATAATTTCAATACAAAATTGCCGCTCCTCAAAAAATTGATACTTTAGTCTAGACTGTTTATTTTGCGTGACACTAAATTCGCCACTGTACACAATTTTATAATTAATAATTATTAACTAACTATGTTAATTTTATATTCTCATGTATTTTACTAATATTTAATTTGAACACAATTACTGCATCACACATTAATTGTTATGGGGTATAGTAAATATATACAAGATAACATAATATGCTCATTATTTTGTGTAGAAACACTGGAGTACCTACTTCAATGTATTGTCAATAGTGATCATGTTCAGTTCATTAAAATTTTTTAAGTTAAATGAAGATAAAAATATTAAATTTTTTTAAACCATTAATAATTAATATAGTAGTGTCTGTAGTATATACTATATAATCAATAGTATATATACTATGTATGCAAGTTTTACTAACTCAGATTCAATGTTTACCAAAATAATAAAAGTTTAAGTATCACTAATACATTTAGTATTTAAAGTTATAAAATATAAATTTGTACTATCTGAGCAATATCAACATTATGATAAAATTTACTTATACTCAACCTAAATTGGTGTATCATAAATATAATATTTTACTTGCCTTTTTTAAAATTTTTTGCATTTTTTACACCATACTCTGAACATAAGCACCACGGTGTTAAAGTCTTATTACATTTTAACTCTATATCCAACACTAGCGTAGGTACACCATCTATGAGCAATTCATGTTTCTTTTTTACAAAATAGTTAACATTATGTAATCCAGTGTGTCTATCACGTTTTCTTGTTACTTCACGTTGGTTATAGCATTTTGTCATATCGCGTTTCCGAACAGTTCGATCATGATTGTGTCTGAAAAATAAAATAAAAATATTGATTTCAGGTATAACAATTTCCTGCTTAAAATATGCATGATCATACAAATTGATTCATTCTCATACCTGAATGTATTTGATGTGCCTGTTGTTAAATTTCCTGGTCTATGAATACCTATCTTGGCTTCCTTAAGACGTAAATAGAACTCATCATCTTCAAGTCCCCAACCCCAATAATTGTTACTTAAGCCATCGATTTGTATAAAGTCTTCTCTATTAATATCATAAAAATGCCCATAAATCAACCAAATATTTAAAAATTACATTTAAATAACATACTTGGTAATAAGTAGAATACCGCCTACAAATGAAGCATAATGGTATCGCGGATGTAAATGAGGTGCAGCTATGTGGTTAACATGGCCAGTTGGAGGATAATGATAATCAAGTGCAGGGTTCAGAGGAAATAAATCAACATCGTGCATAGCTATATAATCGATCATGCTGTATGAGGACATTATTTCTTTAAACCCAGCATTGATCAATGAACCTCTGTTAAAACGGTGCTGATCAACCTAAATGGTGAATAAAAAAGAATATTTTTAAATTTATTATAGGTAATTATATTTGAATATGACTAGCTTAATTACTTGGTTGATAACAAATATCTCATGCAGTACATCTTGGTTTTTCAGGAACGAATGAATATGTGGTACAAATTCTAGCAGTTCATCAAACCTTTCTCTAAAAGGTATGATGATGCCAAGTCTATTACCCTTCAACACGGAAGAAGCTTGTTCTCGTAACCGTATATTTCCACCATTTTCAAGTTCTCCTAAAAAAAAATTCAAGTACTTATTAAAAATAAAAATAAATGCCAAACATTTGAAATTTCAAACATGTTAATCAGATAATAATAATTAATATGCAACACAGGTACTTACGCACATACAACAGTGACAACAAAAGAGTGATTACCAAAGTGAGTATGATTCCAATTAATAAAATTTTTGCTTTAAACATCATGATTATAAAATATGTATTGAATTTCTAAAAATTATGTTACTTCATTCATAATTCAGTTAGAAACAAAAAAAACAGGAACATAAGAATTGATGCATGACAAATGAGAAAGTGTTTAAGAGTTAGAAAGATTTTGTACCTATTTGATTGTAAATAGTACTTTAATTTAAACTAGTCCTTTTTCAATTCTACTGAAAATACATTTAACCCTATCAAAACTTTCAAAAACTAATTCTTCGATCATTGTAAGTTAAAAATGTTTATTTTCTAATATATTTAGAGAATTTAAATCATCTACAGCGGATTTATTCATGACGATTGACGAAAAACATTCAAATATGTACAAAACAATTAATAATAACAAAACAGATAATAAATGATAATTTGTTATCTACCTGTTTAACTCTAGTCACGGTTTAAGATAGGGATGAAACCTCGACAGTGGTAACCTATTTATCCATCGCACAATAGCAAATTGTCTTCCATGAAATAAAATAAATCCCACAAAGCTTATAATATGTTCTAACCTCTAAAGTAAATTTCATGTTTTGTTGTTAACATTTTGGCGGCAAAACAATTATTGCATTGTTATTTCTTTACACTGACTATATAGTTCATTTACGTTTTATGCCTGTTCGGAAATTCGGCAAAGTGTAAACCGTTCGTGTTCGCTTCGTTGATGGTCGCATTTTCCCGCACTTTACTGGCATCTCGGCCTTAGTTTTCATTTGTCGTGAAGTTTTATCCAATTTTATTATTTTAAAAATGTATTAATATTATAATGAACAGAAAGTCTGAATTCTAAAACATTGGGCATTTTGGTAGACCACAGTAAACATTTATTAAACGTATTTACCTATTCAAACTTTCATTTGTACACTGTGTAAGGTCTGCGGTCTTACAGTTTTTCCTGTTGTCCAGAAAATAGTTCTGAAAATGTAAGTGCGCTTTTTTTGTTTTAATTTATAATTTTTTTGAACAATTGAATATTTATAGTTCTAAATTACCTATATTTGTTTAATTGTTTTGAAATCTGTAAGTATCCATATTAAAATGTGAAATAATATGTTATGTGAAAGAGTAAGAACATTATTGTTATAGTCCATAAAAAGCTTTACATAAATACTCGTACCTATCTTTTAATTGTGATTTGGTAGGTAATAGTTATGAACGATAAGTAGTTTGAGTTGAATCATTCAAATACCTAATATTTTGGTTACTTTGTGTATCCTAATGGAAGTGAACTTCATTTAAAATGATTAATAATTAATGTATTAGGAACTGAATAGTTTTAATTGGTATGCCCAATCAATTATAACTTGTAGTGAAAGGTGATTACTAAATTAGTTTAAATACATTTTTAATTTATCATCAATCATTGAATCAGTTATTTTTTTTTTATAAATTATACTTACCTTTCCATTCATGCAATGAAATTTATTCTGCTTAATATTTACTTATGTACTATATTATAGTTTATTTACGTTTTTCAAATGTCTATATTCTATCGATTCATTTAACTGTTTACTGGACCAATTATAAATATATAGGTCTATTATTTATATTTGAATGTCAATACTAAATAATTTTTACTTTCAACTTTATATTCAATAGATAACGGTTTGATATTAAAATGTGACGTTAAAACTATTTGAGACTTTAAATTATTGATACTATTTTAAAAGTAATTTTTTTCTTAAATGAACTGTTCTATCCAATACTTTCTATTGCTTTGTGTTAATGGCTTGGAATACCTTAATATTTTTTTACGAATATGGGTAATCATAGGCGCAACTAGATTTCAGGAAGTGCTAAAAATTAGCATAGGGTAAATCCTTGCAGAATTTCCTGTGTGTCACTGTGTGGTGGTCGCATTGGAAACCGCACCTTAATACAACAAAAATAACAACAATTAAAAAAAAACATCATTTAGATTCCAATAATATTTCAAAGCTATTTTTCTTGTTTTTTTACAATATTTATTTAAAAAATATAAGTAAGTGAACTGTTGTTGCATACATACCTATTAATTTTCCTCCTATTTTTGGCTTGAAAACTGGTTTTGCATCGGCCAGTTATGGCTGGAATTATGACAGTAATCAATGGCAACTTGAGTCTGGAAAACTTAAGAAGGAAGCTGGTAGATAGCTACGAAGCTTCTTTCTACCTAATAAATTCACCTAATAAATATATTATTGACCAATGCAATATTTTTAGATTCTTCATTGTACATTCATTGTTTAATTTTTCATGTACTTTTACAATCAATTATAGTTACACTTATTTTTAACTTGAATGGTTATTATAAGTATCTTCTATTATATTAAAAGCTGTTGCAAAAAAAAAATGTATGACAATTAAGGCCTGGATTATTTTTTGGGATGTCGCTGGTTTCAGGAACTTCATTTTTTTTATACTATTAAATCAAATATACACTGTACACATTGTACACATTGTAAATAAATATATTTATATTAATATATATCTATGTAAAAATCTGTTTTATACATCAGAGATTTGAAAATTTAAAATTGTATTTTGCTTTTTACTTCAGTTAAGCAAATTTTTTTATAATTTTTAGGTCATTTTGATATTTATAAATTATATACATTTTTAGATTAAATTTCATTGGTAATTCAAAATATTAGCTCAAGACATTTTTTTGTGATCGTTTTGCTGATTGTAATATTTATGACTGATACTTCGATAACGTCTTTATCTATTTACAGTGGAATTAACAGCTATTTAATGTCTGAGACTCATTTCAGTAATAACTAATTGTTCGGTTGGTGTTACATCGTAATTGCGTTTATTTTGTCAAGTTCTGTGGTAATTATTATTATTGTCAAACCATTTCTCAAGTATTCTAATATATCAAAATAAATGCAAAATAGTGAATTTGAACAATTGGGGAACACTATTTTTTTAAAAAATAAATAGGCATCTAGGTATGATTTATGGCTTGAATTTTTGGGGATGCTAAGGCCCCTAGCGGTTCTAGCATTTCATTATTTGTGCCTATGTAGCTAACACAATATTGATCTAACTCAGCTGATATTTAATTATTAGTTATATAAATGCTATTGTAGATTTGATATTACAAGTATTTATGTATTTAAACTATAAAGTATCAATATTATCCAAGAGTAAATTTATTAGTGCAGTTAGTTTATAATTTATATAGATTTTATATGCTATTGTGTAGTGCTGAAAACAAATTGACTAAAACTTCTTCTACTGGATCAATAAAGATACATACCTACCTACAATAAGAAATTATGTAAGGCTCCTTAAACCTATTATAAATATTAATATGACTTATTTCCTATTTTTTTTATATTTTTTTTAGTTTTGAAAATGATGGATGACATTGAACAAAGACTTAGAGATATCCAAAAGGAATATCTAAGTTTTTTAGATGATGAAGAAAATCAAAATGTATACCACAAAAAGGTGAAATTAATGATTGATGAAAACGGTCAAAGACTTCTAATAGACATCAATGATTTACGTAAAAAAAATCCTAACAGAACCCAGGAATTATTGACAAATACTTTTGAAGAACAATTTGCTTTGGGACTTGCACTTAAAGAATATGTTGCAAATATTGATTCTACTTATGCCAATAAATATGATGAATTTTTTGTTGCATTTGAAGGTAGTTTTGGGAGTCGTCACGTCACACCTAGGACTATGAATAGTAAATTTTTAGGCAACTTGGTTTGTTTGGAAGGCATTGTTACTAAGTGTTCTTTGGTTCGTCCAAAAATTGTAAGAAGTGTACATTTTTGTCCAGTTACTAAAAAAACAATAGAGCGCCGATACACAGATATGACATCAACATCTGCTTTTCCATCTAGTTCTGTATATCCAACAAAAGATGATGATGGTAATCCTTTAGAAACTGAATATGGTCTTTCTGTGTATAAAGATCATCAAACAGTAACAATTCAAGAAATGCCTGAAAAAGCACCAGCTGGACAATTGCCGCGGTTTGTTGATATTATATGTGATAATGATTTAGTCGACTGTTGTAAGCCAGGTGACCGAGTGCAAGTTGTTGGTAGTTATCGTTGTCTTCCTGCTAAACAGGGAGGTTATACAACTGGAAATTTTAGAACTATTGTCATTGCTAACAATATATCACAGTTAAGTAAAGATGCAACATATTCTGTTAGTAGAGACGATGTTTTCAACTGTAGAAAATTATCAAGAAGGAAGGGTGATATATTCAATTTATTGGCTCGATCATTAGCACCTTCTATTCATGGCCACACTTTTATTAAAAAAGCAATTCTCTGTCTATTGTTGGGTGGAATTGAAAAAATTTTACCTAACGGAACACGTCTTCGTGGAGATATCAATCTGTTATTAATTGGTGATCCAAGTGTTGCTAAATCACAATTACTGAGATACGTATTATGTGCTGCTCCAAGAGCTGTAGCCACTACAGGTAGAGGAAGTTCAGGAGTTGGTTTGACTGCTGCTGTCACCACAGATCAAGAAACTGGAGATCGGCGTTTAGAAGCTGGAGCTATGGTACTTGCTGACAGAGGTGTGGTGTGTATTGACGAATTTGATAAAATGTCTGATATGGACAGAACTGCTATACACGAAGTTATGGAACAAGGCAGAGTATCTATTTCTAAAGCTGGTATACACGCAAGGCTTAATGCCAGGTGCTCCGTTTTAGCTGCTGCTAATCCTGTGTATGGTAGGTACGATCAATATAAAACTCCAATGGAAAACATAGGTCTGCAAGATTCATTACTATCTCGGTTTGATTTATTGTTTGTCATGTTAGATGTGCCTGATAGTGAAAATGATCGTTTGATATCTGAGCATGTTGTTCGTATTCACAGATACAGAGATCCTAAAGAACAGGATGGTGAAGCGTTACCAATGGGTTCAGGCGTCGATATTTTGAGCACTAGAAATTTGGAAATTGATGAGAATGACCCATCTAAAACTCGAATGTTTGAAAAATATGAACCATTGCTTCATGGACCTCAAAATAATAAATCTGAACAAACTTTAAGTAGTCAATTCATGAAAAAATACATACATATTGCTAAGTGTGTTAAACCTGTACTGACCGAAGAAGCATCTGATGAAATATCTGAAGAATATTCTAGACTTCGCTCCCAGGAAGCTGTTGAATCTGATGCTGCAAGGACTCAGCCTGTAACTGCCAGAACATTAGAAACGTTAATTCGTCTTTCTACTGCTCATGCTAAAGCTCGTTTGTCCAAAAATGTCGAACAACAAGACGCTCAAGCAGCAATTGAGCTTGTTCAGTTTGCTTACTTTAAAAAAGTATTAGAGAAACCTAAAAGAAAACGGCAAATTAGTGATGATGAATCTGGAGATGAACA